ACTTGGTCTGAGGCAAGAAATTACTCGTTTTCCGCTTGTCCCATTGACTAGCACAAACACCCTTTATATAGCTATACAAATATCGCGAAGCTTTCGAATATTTAGAACGTAGGAGCCCGCAATTCCCGTTGGTAAACTGGTTTGCGCGGTAATTTCAATTATCGTATTGCATGGAGGTTCGTCTAACTTCTACCTCATAAATACATTAGTGTTAGTGATTTAACGCGGATGTGCAAATATCCGGGTAGTCGGGCACTCTCAGTTGCTACCCAAAACTTAAACAGGCAAACCCGGCCCAGGTTCCCGGCCCGAGAACCGGGAGTTTGAAAAGGCCATTCATTCGAGTAAATATTTGGATGACAAGAAGGAAACAGACTGTTCACAATTTCCGCCAAGGAACCGCCGCTTCTTTTCTCAGTTCACTAAAATTTCTCATTTCGTCAGCCTACCATTCTCCGGATCATCAACATATATATATATACACGTTCATCTTTTATAAAGCGCATTCGAGGAAAATAACCGAGCTTTAACTCCGACAAAGTGAATTTTACATTTTTCGCACAATACGTATCTCGCGTAAATGTTCGCATTTCCATCGTCACGTATAGAAGTATCATTTTCGCGTATCTATCGCATCTAAATTTTAGAATCGCAACGGTTCGCGATATCAGTTTCCGCTGGAAATGCAACGCGAGCTATAGCTGTACGATTCTTCGGGAAATGCGTTACACTTTTAGCATCTTTAACCGGAAAGACATATTCTCGTCGCACCGCGGAAATTTCATCTTCAGCCTCGCCCCTCTTAGAGCCGAGCTTAAGAAACTGTTCGCCGAGAGGCAGCCAATGCTACCAGTTGCATGGCGAGGAGTAAAAGAGAACTCGAGCTTAATCCCACGTCGTCGTCGTCGTCGTGGAAAAGTTTTGCATTTGCCGAGATTTTCTCGCAAGCCATCTCGCCATCTCTGCGCGTTTTTATTCGTACGATGATTCACTTTGACACCGCTGCAATTCTCGACCCTAATAATCCCAGCGACCTATTTCCGTAACCACGAGTATTCCCACGTATTATGGAATCTGTCTGCCGAGCTGAGTATACGTGTATGCGTGTGCGCACCTATCTGTGTAGGTGTGGTAACTGTGTTTAATCTTTTAAAATCGATACACTGTCGTAATAGAATAACGTTTTATCCTCGTACAATAAGTGAGAAAATTGAATTTTGCTTATTTACGTTAAAAAATGTATACTTCGTAGGAAAATAAAACCATCAACAATCTCTCTAATACATTGGGATGTAAAAAAAATAAAAATTTTCTCTTTACTTTATAAAATTGGTCGACTCTTGCTAAAAATCAGACGAAAAAAAATATGACATTTTTATTAGCTACGACATTTTTATTAGCTCTAGAGGTTTCGAGAATATGAAAAATATTTTCACAAACTCTTTCACTAAAATAAAATACTTAATTTGCTAAGTTTTGCAAAAGAATTTAAAATATATATTAAAGCTCGCGATATTTTTTAATAAATTTCGATGTCTTTATCAGACTTCAGGATTTGTATTGTTCGAATAGGACAGACAAGTTCGTGTATTGATGAGATATTTGAACAGCTGATGATTTTTCACTTTTCACCTTTTCACGATTACATGATGAAGGAAAAGCATCGTGTAAAAATAACAATCATTTATATAATCTATCATTTATTAATCTTATTAATCTTCTCGTATCATAAGGAAGCGAGAAAAAGGTATTGATCGTACTATATTTCAACCAACTACGGCGATTCACCGCACATGAATTATAATAATGTGTGCCCACATACAGGGCTTATCTTGATTTCCTATCTTACAACATAATAGTGATATGCTGTTTTGATTAAGGAAATAATTGCACGTTTCTGAGGTGAAAAAAAGTCACTTTACCGCACACATAATAAAAATAGTCGACACATTTATACGTCATCTTGAAAATGAAATGCAAAACGAAGCAAGCTGTTCAAAAATAACATCATGAAAAATCGGGTTTATGCAATTCAATAAAAAAATAAATTTAAACAATTTTACTCACATACTTGACATAGTATGATATTTAAATAATAATCTAAATTTTTTCGATTCTTAAAATTACCTTGACAAAAATTGAATATTTCTCTGAAACGAAGCTGAGAATGAAAGCTAAATTTCAACTGTTACGTTATTTTACTGTTATATCAAAATAAATAGAAACTGACTATTAAAATAAATAAAAGCCGACTAGAGGTAGAGATATTTTTCATGTTTATCAGTGATATTGCAGATTAGCGCGACGCAATTTTACGAAATAAATCACCGCCGGTATTGCTATTTTAAACCAGCCATTTTCACGTTCTTTCTCTCCGGTATTTGTAGTGTGAGAAAAGAAGCGATAAGTCTCTGGGACACGCGATACGCTGGCGAATATAATCGAAGCAATATATCTAAAAACTTTTTTTCATCTCACATTTATAATATAACAAAGTTCAGCCACCGCTAGTTTACCCCCGAGCGCCCTCGAGGCGAAATCAAAGATATATCATGTACCAGCGTCGCTCATAAAATCAGAGCCTCCCTCTCCCCCCCCCCCCCCAGTAAGTAAACATGATTGTGCCGCGACGCTGCACTTTGAGGTCGAAAAAAGCATAAGTGCTCAACTTGCACGTCGCGCAATCTGCGCTGCAACGTAACCAGATTATTCCGCTACCGCGTAAATATACGCGCAAATGCAATTGCTCATGCACGCTGCGCTCGCGAGCACTTTATAAAATTCGCAGCCTTCCGCTCTGATGCGGACTCACGGTAAACCCTGTAACCGGTATTAAAGAAATCCATGGAAATTATTAATCGCGTATACGAGACTCTTAATTCGTCCTTCCTACTCGCGGTTCATTTTTTTCAAGATATTTTTGAAAGTCGTTACGTGCGTCTGGCAAATTAAATTCCGGAGACGTTCGGAATATACTTCCCTTCGACGGGGTATATTTTTTAACAAGCTAAACATTTGGCGAGAAGGTAACTATGGGTATCGAGCGCGCTAAAAAAAAAGTTTGGCGAGAAAGTGGCGAGTAATAAAATTCTCCAGGGGAAACCCTTCGCCTCCAAATATGTCAAAAGATTTTTCGCAGATGAAAGGGGGCGAGGTAACCCTGGGGAGAGCCCTATATAAATTCGAAGAAAGCCAAGTACGTAACGACAGTTCAAAGTGCACGACCGGGGGCGTGCGCTTATTGGTTGTAAAACGAGAAGACCATCTGCCCTCGATATAAGACATCGGTGAACCCTAAAAATCGACTCCTATCCGCTACCGATCATAGTAACAAGTCGGCCAGCCGATGTACCGCGCGTACCGGGTGCGCTTAAAGTGCGGATTATTCCCGAAATTCGAAAATTTCTCTTCGATATTAATTATATGGATTTTTATTCGAAAATTTTAAAAGAATAAAATATTGAGATAAGGAAAATATATTTTATACCTGACACTCCGTCCGTAAGAAAATTAAATTTTAGTAGCCGAGACGAAATGTAAGATAAAATCCTACATTTTAATAATGAATTAATAAATTATTCAACTTATATACTAATCACGATCGTCGTGAACTTAAGTGCCGGACTTAATATATACTTGGCGTTCTTTCATTTCATTAAAGCGATATTATCACGTCTCCCTCGGGTAACATTGTTTTCTTTTTTTTCGAAAGCCACGTTACACACGGAAACCAAGTAGCAACTAGTTGAGAAAAACAACGCGACGAGTTTCGCGTTTGCAAGAATATCACCAGTGATAACGATATTACCGGCACTTCGCGGGACAAACTTAATTTCGTTGCGGCACTCGAGTTAATCGATAGCGAAATTCCGTGGCGCTCGCTAAATCCCAAAATGGGATCAACAACTTCCTCCGCGTCCGATCATGTCAACAGGCCGACGAGAAATAGTAGGAGTTCGCGTCCTATCCCCTCTTTCTCCCCTTTCCAACTTCCGACGACGATCGAGAGGGGGGGGAGGAGGGGAGGCGAGGGAAGCGAAATTTTTGGCGTTTTATGCGAACGTCTCAACGCCCGAGTATACGGCATTGTTTTTTCGTGTGACAGCTGGCCCGCATGGGGCTGGAACAACACTAAACTCGAGACCCGGCGCGGTCTTATCGGCGCTCGCCTTATTTTTAATAAAAACTACGACGCGGGGCGGGGAGGAAGGGCGTGGGGGGGGGGGAGAGCGCTGAGATTAAAAAATTCACCGGCGCCCGGAGGCACTCGATGGCCTCGTAACTTAAAATTAAGAAAATTAGGAAGCCGCACGACCGGCTGAGCTCGCGAAAACGCTCCTTACATCGCCTTCTGCATCCCCTTCCCTCCCGGCTGCCTGATAATAATTACATCGCGAATGACGCGTTTGCGCGCGCGTCGATCCCGTTTTATCGGGATTTCAACTTTTCGCAAACTAGATTTTAATTGTAATTTAATTAGATGCGGGGGAAACGCGGGGATTTCGCGCGCGATGGATTAGTTTGCGCGCGTTTCGCGCAGGCGATATTGTGTTATAAAATTAATTTTAAGCGTGTAATATACACTTTACAACGCCACGTTCTTGAGATAACATTAATTCTGCTATTAACGTCGCGTTAACCCTTGGGTTGTTCGGTAGTAAAGTTGCAAGAATTTTGCGCGAGATGAACAAACTTGGCGGGACGAAGCCGGTTAAGTTTCCTACTTTGTCTATCACGCCGCGCGACAGTCGGAAATATCCAAAAAGAAAGGGGGAAGGACGCGGAAATTACGCGCGACGCACAAAAGCGGAGGGGATGAAAAAAAATTCGCGGGCTTCAGCGGGTGTCTCTCCTGATATAAATAAGCAACGCGAACGACCATTTAAATAATTAATAATCCCGAGCAACGGGATTTATAACAGATGTCGAGCAATACCTTCGTTCTTCAGCGAGTTTTATTAAATTTCATGGATAAAAACAGAGAGAGGAGATTTACTCACCGGAGATGCCATCGTAGGTCCACCATTCCTCCCAGCTGGCTTCGGATTCTGCAAATAAAATGCGAAATATTAGTCACGAGCCAACGAAAATGCAAGGGATTACCGCTGTATCTCCTTTCAACTATCGGACACGATTATTCCTCAAAGTCAATTGTTCGAAATCTTATTATTATCGCCAACATGAGAATAATTGTGCGTTTCAAGTGCGACACGCGTTGGATTCCGCGGACGATACCGCAATTTTCTCCCTCCGTGTATCTCGAGCAAGCCCAAGAGACGACGCAGACGGCGGAAAACTTTAAAGCTCTATCACCCGCACCCAAAGACGGGGTCGGGCTGACCGGCGCATCGATCAATTGCAATTGCAGATCGAGGGAGGAGGAGGAAGCGGAGCAATCGATCAATCGATTACCGCGGGCGAGAATTCTAAGGCAGCGGTTCACGAATCGTGCCACGTGGTTTTTATGTCCACGTCGGACATGCCAAGAGCACGACAGAGTTGACCCGATGCACACACGGGAAACTCGCTGTCTCTCTCTCTCTCTCTCTCTCTCTCCTTCCTCTTCCCTCTTCGATCGCGAACCATCGACCCCATACCGCTTTAGAAGCTGACCCATATTCGATTATCTGGATGCATGCCATCCAGCGCCGTACTGCAAACTAATTGCTTCAAATTGGAAAACTTTCTCGGAGGGGAAAGCTACCCCTCTCTTCCCGGGATTCCTCTCTCTATCTCTCTCTCTCTATTGTCAATCCCGACGTTTCTCTCGCCAGGCGTGCCTCCCTTCCCGACTCACCCTTCCCATCTCCGCGAGATATATTTATAGCACCTGCTCCGTTTCGTGATCCATTGGTCGTTACGGATTATCGGACTCGTGTCTACAATATCTGACGCAGCGCAGTGTTTATCCGTGTGTTACGAACGTGCGTACATGTTCGCTGATTGGACAGTGTACATCTTAATGGACCGACGGGCACGTGCCATTGTAACTGAACCTGCGCAATTATGTGTCTGTCATGAGATCTACGGGATGTCCGGTAACTTTACCGATCATAATCCGGAGATTTTTTTTACAGAAACGCGCGACGTATCGATCTCAACGAGTCCATCCGAACGACTGAAGATCCCTCTGGATAAGATGAATGACTTGTAGCTTGGAAAATGGTCCAGGTAAGAGTATCGGCTTCGCGAAAGCTATGTCCGGCGGAGAATTGATGCGCTGTCGTCACGTGAAATCCGGCTCCTTACGTACGTGTAAATTTTGACTGTCAAGCACGAATACAAATGGAATACGCGATCGCGGTGAATGCGCCCGCGAGGAACGCGCACCTCTCATGCATAATCGATAGTGACGCCTGTCGCTGTCATGTTCGACGGATATTATCAGCTTGGGAACATCCCGCGCGCAAGTCTTGGGCTTGGTATTAGAATCGTTGTCGAGCTGAAAATGGAGCATGGACAAGTCAAACGAGATTTTTATATTATTTTTGTCAAATCTGTCATTGATTAATATATAATATCGGTCAAAAATATATAATCGCTCCCAAAAAATGTAGAAAATATATATATAAATGATTAGGTTTTTTTTTCTCTATCTGTTTTGCTCATGTGTAAAATGTTATCTGTTATTCGGTTCTTAAAATTAGTTAATATACAATTATTATATTATTTGTTTTGATATTGTTTGAAGTGTGTTATATTGCTTTCTAATATAATGTTAAATAATTTCTATATATCAACAATATACGCTATGTAAATGTATATCTAAATTTCTCTCAACAACTATAAGAATATTTGCAAACAGGAATCGAAGTTTATTAGTGAAATAATTTTTAAGATAATAAAATAATTTAATAAGATAATAAAATAATTTAATTTTAGAAAAATTGTTATCAAGAGAATATGATAGTATTGAAAGTAAAGGAGAGCTATTTTAAAGAGTCAAAAATTTAATATTGCTGTTATTATTTTTAATTATTTACTTATTTAATTGTTATAATTTTTAATTATTATGTTATTAAAATAACAGTATAAAATATGATATAAAATAACAGTAATTTATATATGTTTTTGTTCATTAAAATATCGATAGCGATTTCCCTCTTTCTATATATATAAGTGATGTAATACTTTGACCTGTAATACAAGTACATTAAAATATAATCAGATCGTTGATGATAAAAGTAGAAGTTGTATTTTATTATTGTAGTTTATTTTAGATTGTTAATTTTAATAACGAAATTATGGTTGGATTTATCTCATTTCTCGACAGGCGATTCGTCTACTGCTGTTCCAACATCTTCTTGTTTTAATACTTTTTATTAAACCGACAGTCTCGTCTCGATTTTTCGGCAGATGGGTTTCTTCACGACGCAATAAAGAGGTTTATTAGTCTCGTAATCCCGAGGTTAAAGTTTTTGTTCGTAACATTCCCTTCGGTCTTTGATATCTTATGCCGAGCATCCGTCTAATTTGAATATTTTATGTGCGATGTTGCACAAGATTTGTTTTCGCAAGATGACGTCCATCGTTGATTGCATATTTTTAATATTTTTTAGTCGTTTTAAAATGCACACAGAAAATATACAGAATTCCACGATATCAAGTTTAATCAGAATTACTGGGAAATAATTCAGAGTCGGTTTTTCTCGAGCAAAAGTCGTTTATCACGAATTTTCAATTTCGCGATCTTTCTCTGGGGCGCACCACATGTCACAAGATGACAAATCGTAAGATCGATAACTTCGTTAAAGCAAAACCCATGAATTTACCATTTAATACTGAGTCGGGGAGATACGTTTATGAGGTGCTTTCTGTCGGGGCCATTTCGATTATACGATAGCGTTTATCGCGTACGCGAATGCACACGGTTCCGATACTTTTATTCGACGCTTTTAACGCAAGAGTGTCGATAACGCGCTACGTATTGTCGGGAAGACCTTCGGAGGCAGCCGTAAAACTTCTTTTCGATTCGCGATTCGATCGCGCTTGATTCCATCGGCGAACTTTATCGGAGTAAGGAAAGTAAGAGGGAGAGAGAGAGAGAGAGAAAGAAAGAGAGAGAAAGCAAGAGGGAGAGAGAGAGAGAGAGACTTTCGGTAATCGTGTTACGACCCATGAAGTGCACCAGGACTATGCTAGACTCTCCTCTCAAGTGCACGCATCGATGCCTGACCTGCTTCTGACGAACTACTTACGTTAAGTAGTAACGGTATGCACAAGCGCGGCCAGTGAATCTCGACTGCTTCCCAGTCTCTCTCTCTCTCTCTCCTTTTTCTCCTCACTTTTCTCGTATTCAAATTTCGTTTTAAAATGCAGCGTTTCATTGTAACAACCGCGAAACATATATTTTTTACTTATTATTATTATTTCACACCTTTTACTTTTACAAGAAGCCAAGAAAATGGAACATTTTTCTGCATGTGAATTTTAATAGCAGCTGCTTAACAAGCATTGCTGAATTGAATTTTCTTTTAATTATAAAACATTTTCTATGAATTATGCATAAACGTATAAGTAGAAATAATATAGACACGAGAAATATACACCTTCAAGTATAAAATCTTAAAATCTTAAAATATTTGCCAGTTGTGCAACGAAATTTATTTCAACTTATTGCTTATATCGAGATTTTTCTCTCGCTTAATTTATTATTCAAAATTTATGTTATAAGGTACTCTCGCATTTCGCAAAATAAATTTTTTGATACTTTATAACAATCTTACACGATAAAAACTGACAGCAATAAAATAAAATAAAATAATTTAATAAAAGTATAATTGTATTACACGTTTCATGTAAAACGTGTTAGCTTCCGATTACACCGACGCACAAAATCGACATCGGGAGCACTTTGTTTAAAATACAAAATGTCGAAAATGTTATATGAACATCAAACAAACGCGACAATAATTCGTGCAATCGGTAACAATCCAATTCGCACATTATGTACTTTCAAAGCAAAGAATAAACGCCAGAGAGTAACAGTTAAAGTGAGAAATACCGTTACGAGAGCGTGAGGACTCGAATAAAATTCGCGATGCGAAAATTCTCTGCGCACAAGAGAGAGAGAGAGAGAGAGAGAGAGAGATCGGATTGCATAGTTGTTCACATAAGAATTACGCAATTATATGGACAATAAAAGTCTCGCGGTTGCAAGAATGCAACCTCGCAAAGGCAGCCTCGCATGTGTTGGAGAAATTCCGCGGTTTAAAGAGAGCCAACCCCTCGCCTCGGGGTAAAACTTGCGCCAATTTCTTGGCTACGAGTCGTCCACCTGATAGCAGGAGAGTGTTGCTACTATATCGGCGGACTCGAGCGCACTTACATAGTCCTTCTCCGATCGGCAAATTGTTACTTTTATTATGCACGGAATCGATAGATAGAACTATTCGTTGTCACATTGTGTGACAAGTAAGCGATTTGAAGGTAAATAATTATCATTTTGTTAAATAAATATTTAATTATGTATATATTTATTTATTTATTTATTTGTAAATTTTTTTATGTAATACACATCAGTTTTAATGGGGAATAAAAAAATCCTTACGTTACCTCACATGTCATATTTTACAATTATTCTCTTTTATAATCTATGATTCTTATTTTCAAAATTCAACTGCCTTGATGCTGCCGACATTCAAGTTAAATTATATTTCCGGACGCGATAAAGCATCGCGACAAAGTATTTTTGAAATATGAACAATAATTCTAATTCAAGCACAATAAAATCTTGATTGATTTTATAATACCGTATTATAATTTTTCGTATGTTTAAATGTTCTAATAAATTAATTATTGATATTTCGAAAAAATTATTAATTATTTATTATAATGTGGAAAGTAATTTAAATAATTATTTAATCGAAATAGTCAGTATAATTATTAAATAATATTAAATAATATTAATATCGTGTAATTATTAAATAATAATTATTAAATAATATTAATATCGTATAATTATTAAATAGTAATTAAACATTTTTACCTAACAAAATAAGAATTATTTCAAATCGCTCACACTTGTCACATTGTGACGTCACCGCAT